TGACAGATTCTGATCTGTTTTAGCAGAGGACTTTAGAGCCCTAATGGCTCAATGGTTGGACTTGATGATCTTGAAGGTCCCTTCCAACCAAGAGGATTCTATGATTCTATGATCCTCATTCCAGACATCATTTTTCACCCAGGGAAAGGGAAGGAGTCAGAATGCTTTCAGGTGTTTTCAAGATCTTTCAGAGAGGTATTTTCATTTGGCTTATACTCTCTGGAGGCTCACAACTGGCTCTCTTCTTGCTGAGACAAAGTCCTGGCAACCAGCTCTCACCTCTGCACACAGGGCACCACACCATGCCACAAGAAGGCTTCAGGAGTGCCCCAGCCCTTGGGCTTGCTGGTCTCCATCCACATGCTGTCTTTAACCTGGCTGGGAGCCTGAAGTTTTTAACTTCTCAAGGGTACCAGTGCCAAAGCCTGTGTAGCCTCGGCTTGACAGAGTAAGCACCAAGTGCTGCTGAGGGTGGAAACGCCGGGGAGGCAGCGCCTGGTCTCCAGCCAGGACCCGGGTTAGTTCACACCAGTACCACCAACGCCCACACGATGACACTGCAACATAGATTTCTGAAATAAACTCCGCTGTGCTTTTTAAAGAAGGAAAAACCACATCTTCAATAAGCTAGGCCTTACCCCATCGCACCCCCAGAACAAGTGATTGTAAGGATAAACTTGCCTTGTGCTCTGACGTGAGGTTTTTGACATTTTTCAGACACAGCCGCTCTGGTTCCAGTCTCACAGTACGAGATGCAAGCCCACAATGTCCTGTCAGGCTGATCTGTGATGGAGCATGATGTTACTGTCCTGTGGTGACAGGGCTGGTGCAAGCACCATCCCCTTACCTGCCTACCCCTGTCCATCTGTTCTCCTGTCTGGTAAACTGGGCTGCTTTAGGTGCAAAGATTCTTCCTTTGCATTTGGGCAGCACAGCTTGCGAAGTTCCTCTTCAGAGGGGACGAAAATGTTTTCCTGTCCTTCTCTGTATAGAGATTTAGATTATGGAGCATGAGCTGCTTGCTCAGTTTGTCTCCAGACTTGTTCTACTCATTTTTACTGTGGACTCTCTTCAGACCATATTGTTTAACAGCCTTCTGCAAACAGACTTCAGAGCAACAAAGAGCTCCTGGGAGGCCTGACAGGTCCAGGTTTGCTGGAACCTGTAGAGACCTCAAAATACACAACAGAGTAGTGAAAGTATGCTTGTGTGGATATCCATCATGTCCATTGCTGTGATGTGTATCAAAAAATAATAAGAATATTAAAAGATGTGGAAGTCTAATGAGTGCAGCATAAAAGAGAATAAACATATGCATAGAGTGATATGGCTTTAAGGGACATGCTTTCACAGCCTTTTTCTTTACCCCCAAATACAGGAAATTCTGATTCATAGCACCATGTTCAATGTTAGACCTGCCTACCAGAAGTTCAGAACAATTTTTTTAAAGTTTAAAATAAACCTCAGTGAGAGCACTGTCTTAAGATTGTATTTGAAAATCCTTTGTTAAATGTGGTCAGAATACTGGACAGAATGGGTAGGAAGTGAAGTTATGCACTCCTGGCCTTTGCATAGCAGTGTCAGACTGAGATTAACGAGGCCTCAACACATGTAGGAAAAGCTGCTGATTGTTGCAGTCTCTATGCTGCAAACGTTGAGAGTCTCAGAAATCACTAATACTTGTCAGGCCACATGACAAGCCACTGTCCCTCCCACAATGCTGGCACTAGCCCAGTGGTTACATGGCTGGAAGGATCTACTCTTGTAACATCCATTGGTGCATTTCAGCTCAGTCCTGCCCATATTGATACACCTAAAATACTCATAAATGAGCCTGGGCCCTTGCTGAATTACTGAGGCAGTTTATGAATTTCACCCAACGTTGTATTACATGTATGCTTGTGCAGAAATGATGCAGATAACCACAACTTTGTATCTGAAAAATAAGATATTACTCAATAGCAAGCCAGCATGTGTATGTTAATTCCAAGCATCAGCTTGTAAGATTGAACACTGCCAGGGGTGGAGGAGAGGAAAATGACACTTTGTAGTAAAACTGTTCTGTCAACACGTTGTACTGTTTATTTATAAGATGCCAAGCAGCCAAGGCTGCTTCACAAATGTTCACAGACATTAGCTGAAGCATCCACTCACTCTTCATGTTTAACTTTTCCACCACTGGGCTCTATCAGTTTCCATTTGTGTATCAAGAAGATGAACTCCCTTAGTTATCCTTGGATGTGTCTGCACTCTGCTGAGCCTAAGCTGTTTGTGCTGGCTCTAGGTTCAGTGTTCAATTAAGTGAAAGACAGCAGGATTTAATGTTTTTTTTTAATTTTATTGGGCTATGCCCTGAGAAACACTAAGGTCTCAACTCTCAGTGAGGGCAAGGGGAATTGGTGGTGCTCAGCATGACAAGGAATTCTGAATTCCTTATTTTTTTCTCTCCCCTAGAGAAAAAAAAAAAAAAAAATTAAACAAGATGCTCACCCTGCTGAAGTGGATGGGAAAAGTAAACTCCTAAGTCAATCTTACACAGAAGTATTTGAAATTATAACAGCTGTGGAGCCCTCATTACTTTTACAATTTTCTCATGAAAACTTTTAAATGCCTCTCTTGATAAGGAATAAATAGCTGAGTCACTCTTTGTTCTCAATCCAGAGTAGCAATTCAGTTTTGCCAAGAATGCTATCACACTTTCAATGCCTTTTGCTAAAGCTGAGCTGAAGCTTCAATCTGAAGACGTGCCTCTATTTCCAGACTTAATCATGAGTGTTGTAGAGTCTTCTGTAAAACAAACAAAGCCCAGTTATGAGTGTTCTTAATGTTTCAGTTTTACAGCCTTCCTATGTCATCATTCTGTTGAACAATATAAAAAAACCCCATATGCAAGTCAATCCATGTAATTACCATGTACTTACTTTTATTTCGAGACTAGAGTCCTGTAATTCAAAACCAGACAAACCCCATATTTCTCACTCTAAATGCTTTCTCCCTTCAATTTACCAGGAAAGAAAATTTTTACAATGAAAAGTAATACCTCATGTTAGCAAAGACAGAAGTATTAAGATTTACAGCTTGTCTAGGAGAAGGTGAGAAAAGAGACTGACTGCCTGTGGATCAGTGCAAGCTCAACTGGAGGTATTGTCTGGCATAGTTATATCAGTGCTTCTACTGAATATGCTATTTTAACTATGAGGAAAAAATAATTGTACTTCTTGTCTTCTGAAACTATTCTTTCAGTCTCCATACAGTATTGGAGTAGATGGACTTGGGACAGAACAGATGTTCTGTGAAGTCTTTTGTGCTGATCTCAGCTTACAGTCGGGAAGGTACTGCCCTGTTCATAGCATAATTTGAGAGGCAAAATTTTTGTTAAGAGTCAAGAGAGTGAAAATATACTGGCTCTGAAGCAATGCTTGCTTAATGCAACCTCCTAGGAACCCATTGTGTTTTGGAATCTAAAGAGCTTTGTGAAATTCCAAGTATTAGCTTTCCTAGATCTACTTCCTCTGCATCATCCCATTATTCCTATTAACTAACTCTGAATTATGAATTCTATTCTAAATTTATGCAGTACCTTTTTCTCCTTGGCTTGATTTTTGTTTCATCCTAGTATTTTCGAAGATGTAAAATGTAGACATTTGATCTAGAAAAATAAGGAACAGTTTTATCAGAGGAGAATTTAACATTATATTCAACATGTAACTATATTCATTACAGAGGAAACTGGGCCCCTTTGTTGGGATGGAAATTTATTTAGAACTCCATCTCTGATGTAGCTGAGATACAATCATATTACTTGCTTATCAGGAATAATATCAGCCTTCAGCAAATCAAGACAAGTACTGAAGTCTTTCCATTATTTGACCTTAAAATTAACGGCTTGTGTCATGGTTATTATGTTCCTAAAACCAAAGTAGACTATAGGCAATGGATCTTGTTCATCTAGATGTGAGCATGAAGTGTCAACAGCATTAACAAATGCCACATTTTACAGAGACAGTGTGCCCATGGCCAGCATTTCAAGAAGCTATGGAATCCAGAAAGGGGCACTGGGACCCCAGGCAGCGTGAAGGTAAGTAGTGACTCTGAAGGTATGGCCTTTTGCATGTGGGAGGCCGAGACCAATGTCTAACTTCTCACCTCATGTTTCTGAAGGGTTGGAAGTGGCAGAAGAATGTTGCAATGAGCACAGGTCACTAGCATGTCAAAAGACTGAGTGTCTTTAAGAGCTTGAGATGATGTGGAAAGTCTGCCTCTTGTGGGAGAGGGAAAGCCAATCTTTTTGTTCTTGGGGAGTTTAAGCAAGGTTTCAGAGGTCAATGGCTGGTCCTTTCCTTTCATTTTGGGACGGACGTCTTTCCACACCGTTGCATTCTTAGAGGAGGAAGAGGGATCCAGGGAGGAAGAAGATTGTGGTGGATCACTGCTGAGTTTTGTAGTTGGTTGGTCAGCAAGAACTTTTGACAGCTTACAGACTGCACTGCATTTCTTCTGTTAAAAGAGAGCATGCACAATGAGGTGAAGATTGGTATTACTCTCAACTGTGCGGCACGTTGTGCTCTGCAACAGACATGAATGGGGAGGGATGGTGGACAACACCTCGCAGTGATGCTTCAGCTGAATACACTGTCTCATGAAACTATAGTTTGAAAACTCAAGACACACTGCCCCTTATGGAACATAGCTTTTCAGGTAAATAACCTGGCTGGAAAGTAAGCACAGACCATTCTTTGGTTCAGTATCAAATGTTCTTACCAGATGTTGGGAGTACTGGTCATCTGAGAATGACTTATTGCACTTCTGGCAAATATTGCCACCAGCACCTTCAGAAAGAAAAAAAAAAATGGAGAGTAACACAGTACTGACATTAGTCATCTAGGCAGGCTGCTCAGATCCACGTGTGGTCACTGCTTCTAGAGAAACACAGCATGTTGATTCCACTGGCCAAGAAGGAATTAGAGCTGTGACCACATCTGGTTTCAGCACTACTCAAACCCAATCCACCATCCCTTCTCTCAAACTTCAGGATACTTGAAATTCCACTCCAGTACCATCTCTTGTGGCTAAAGATGCTTCCCTCGTACCACGGCTTAGCTAACTCTGCTGCTAGGAGGGATTGCTTTCTACAGTTTATTTTGCCAACCACTGCACCTACTGATGCCTGTTCTTTTCTGGAATAATTTTCAGGATTCATTATTTTTTTGTCTTGATATACTCTGTCCAATACCTTATGCCTAATAAAACTGCTCTCAACTTCAAGAAATACAGGTATGCATGACTGGCTATATATATGAAGTAGAAGGAAATTCTAAATCATATTTTCTTCCTGTACAACAAATAGAAAGAGGAAGAAGTTCCACTTATTTTCTGACAAAAGGAAATTCACTTCCAGGATTTGAGGGAGTCATAAAAGAGCATGGCCAATGAGCTACCAGGCAGTGGAACCACCCTGGCTTTACAATAACCAGCATAACAGAAAGCAACTCTTGGCCCTTTCACTGTGGTTGGTTAAAGAAGAATTCCTCCCAGCCTGGATTTAGGGAAAGCAGCAGAATTTTCATTTGAGGTTTGACAGAGTTGACCCAGTCGGTGACAAGGGGGAATTTGGCTTACCAGTGTGGTAAATAAGTGCTGCATTAGTGGATGCTTCAGAGGTTTGAAAGTGCACGTCCTTGTGATAGGACAGACCACCATTCTGACAAATATTTTTGTGGGTTTTCTGATCTTTGTACATGATGTATTTGTTACACTCCCAACACCTCTCTGTTCGGCTGGCACAGGTGTTCAGGTGTTCCTCCAGCTTGTCAAAGGGCATTTCAAGCTCACAGATCTTGCATTTCATTGCTCGTTTGTGGCATTCCTTGGTCTGCACAAGAATAAAAGAAATTATTGCAAATTTTCTATCAATACTAAAGGAGGGCATTGGGTGAGAGCAATTAGTGACTGTTTGAGAATGTCCTTCTTAAGGGGTACCTCCACAACCAAATGCAGGCCTAATGGTATTAGGAGTTTGCCTATCTAGGCTATCTTTAATTTAGGATGATTTAGGCAATATTAGGCAAAATGAGAATCAATGAAAGTGAAGATGTTCTGTGTCAGTACAGGTTAGCAACAGTACAAGCTCGCCCAGAAAATCCCAATACTTCAGCTACCACCACCAGGTTCAGAAGTGCCTTGGTTTGAAAGACAGCTGTCTGCTGAGGAAGGCAGAAGCCCCCCTGGGAATGGAAAATGCAAACCCCTTCCCTCCGAATTTTGAAATTAAGGGGCTCTCAGGGGACCCAGGAGCCCAGCGCGGCC